TTTCTTGAAATAATTATCTTTCATTAAATCACCGATTATAATTTGCAAATTCAAAAGGGTATCCTTAACGGAAACATTTGGGGAATTCGTTATCTCATGAAGTAAGCTCTCGAATTTACTAGCTGTTGTTTCACTTAATTTACTGTAGAATGTTGTATCAAAGAGTACTTCGTTGAAACTACTAACAAAATCTCTCGCTTTCTCTTCTGTTAAATCTTCAAAATGTATCAATAGCCTTTCCAATGCGGATGTGCATTCATATGATTTAATACAAATATTGAATTCAGTGCATAATTTGGCTTGATATTTTACTTCTATATTGACGGTCGTAGTAATAACATTATGTAGAATTTCCCTATTGTAATTCGGCTTGATGTCTTTGTTTGTTTCAAGTAAATGTGATAAATAAATATCTTGTAGTTTGCCAGAAATTTTCTTGATCAAGTCAATCCAATAATGACTATTAGTCTCTTCAGTAATTTTACGATTGGCAGATATCAATTCAATTTTAATAAAAACCATAGCTTCTTTAAGCTTTTTAGCTACCATGGATACTTTATGATCTTCTGAATTTGTAGCAGCATCCCCATTTTTTTTCTTCGTGTATTTACTGAGAATATTCTCCAAAGAATCTGCCAATACAATTATTAGTTCGTTAACGAAATTCTCCTGTCCTTCACAGAACTCAATTCCTTGACACAGAAACGAAGATTTGACAATGAAACTGATGGTGTCTGTTTCTTTAGGATCAATTAAGTTCGATCTTCTTCCACCTACGAATTTGTTTCTCAAATACGTTTTGATTACTGTCATAACTTCTTCTCCCATATTCACTGTTCCATGCATGTTCACATTTATTGGAGTCGTTAGGGTGACGCAACATAATGTAGCTGTAAATTCATTAAAGCTGACATTTAAACAACTCCGTAAATTTAATTAGAGGCATTTCCCTACCGATTTATAATACATTCCGTCATTGGAAGGATCTTATAAAAGTGAAACGATATCATTAATATCGAGGGTTGAAATGCTATTTGGTTTTTTATTTGTTTTTTATTGCTCAGATGGGTAGACGAGCTCACAGCCCACCTGGTGCTAAGTGGTTATTGGAGTCCATAGACATCTACAACGTAAATGCGCCACCCACCTTGAGATATAAGTTCTAAAGTCTCAGTATAGTTACAACGGCTGCCCCACCCTTCAAACCGAAACGCATTACTGCTTCACGGCAGAAATAGGCAGGGCGGTGGTACCTACCCGGTAGGTATCTAGTTTTGGCCATCGCACTACCGGTTATCGGGGAAGAGCTCATCCAAGCTATCTAGAACCACTGCCTTATTGTACAGTGCGTTTTAGAGACCGTTATGCCACATACCATCCGGCTATGGAATTTATTTCCCTCCTCTGTTTTTCCTGAGTGCTATTACATGCCTTTTGTCCATAGAATTTTAAGGAGAATATGTAGAGGTAAGCAGCTGTGCCCATTGTATTGCTGACTTTGGTGAGAAACGATAACCACCCACCGTCCGATATACGGCAATAAAAATGACAAATCTTATGTTTGACTACCATCTATCCTATCGAGGGAAAACAAAAAAATATCTCAGCTAAATCGTACCGAAAATCACACTAACACATATCTTCATGTTTCCAATAATGTTCTACGTCGTGTACATAACACAAAATAATAATGTTTCACGGAAAACACTCGGCAAAACGGCCTGTTTGATTTATTGTAGTAATAAATAATGAAAGCATGGCGCGGAGACGAAGTACCGTGTGTGGAAGCTATAAAATTGTATTAGGTTTTTTAAGCCAACGAATTTTTCAGTTTATTATGTTTTTTTTTTGTATTCTAGTTGTCAGTGTTGCGATTTAAAAAAAACATTTCGACGGCCGAGGTCGTGGCGTAAATGATAAATAATCAATAAATACTTAAATAACTAATAATCACGCCACGTTAACTGGTCCCGTACTAAATTCGTAAAGAGCTTATGTTACACGTACCCGATAACTAAGTACCAGATAACGTACCAGATAACTAAACATAAGACTTAATAAAAGTAAGATTTTTATTATACACATACATATATTTAATATACATCAATAACCCTGGAAAAGTAATTTTATATTTATCATATAAATATCCTCCCTTGGCGGGATTCGAACCCGCGACCCCCTTGTGTAGTGACCATGTCACTTACCACTCATACACCAGATGGCCGTTGTGACACGTGTGAGCGTATTCTTTTCCAACAATGCCGATTTTCCTACGAAAATATGTATCTAGATGCCAATGGGCTCTGGTAAAGCTCTGGTGGTTATGTTTTTCATCCATTTAAAATTACATGTATCATTTGCATTAAAAATAAACCCGTGCGCCATCTGTTTCAAGCTAACGGTACTTTCACGGAAAGATACCCTGAGAGTAAAATCACTTTAAAGCCTAAGCTCAAACACGACACGAGAATGCATTGAGCACGAACAAACAATGAAACCAACAAATACTTATTATTAAATATTAAAAAAAATAACGAATGAATTTTTTTTATTGCGTTTCTCTCAATTCCCCTCAGTTTTTATCGCCATCTGTTGAGGGTTTATTTAAAAAAAAAAAGTATTTGGACTGTGTATAGAGGTCGCTACAAAAACTCAAAAGTGCCTCAAAATTTCCTCTATTTGATTGTGGACATTATCAGCTCAGCATTCAAAAATATGCAATATAGCAAACAGTATGTAATAACCATGAAAGAAATTTAATTTTTATGAAAACCGCAACGAAGTCACTTTACGAAGGAGGAACATTCGAACTTATTTTTTCCTTATCTTTTTTCTCTACCTATTCGCTGGTAGCTTAAGGGGCTATTCTAGAGAATCTATTAGGAGTACAAATAAGTTTCCGCCGTTTTTTGTCGAAAAAATAATATTTATTATGAAAGAACGGTAATTTAAATTTAATCGAAGTATTGTCCATCACTAGCAACTACTTTTTCCCATCTCTCAGGCAGAGTTCGGATTCCACGTCTGAAGAACTCCTCGTCTTTTGAGGCTATCCAAGAATCAACCCAATTTTTGGTATCTTCATATGATGTAAACCACTGCTTCGACAGAGCATGTGCCATTGACCGGAACAAATGATAGTCAGACGGCGCAATGTCTGGCGAATACGGCGGGTGAAGTAGTACTTCCCAATTAAGTGTTTTTTAAATAGTTTTTCACCAGTACCGCTACATGCGGCTGAGCATTATCATGGAGCAGAATAATTTTGTCATGTCTGGAGTAGTATTGAGGGCGTTTTTCCTTCAAAGCTCGACTCAATCTCATCAATTGCGTTCGGTAGAGAGCTCCAGTGATTGTTTCGCCTGGATTAAGACACTCGTAATACACCACACCCAGCTGATCTCACCAAATACACAGCATGAGTTTTTTTCCATGAATATTCGGTTTTGCTGTGGATGTTGACGCATGGCCAGATAGTCCCCATGATTTTCTTCTTTTTGGATTATCATAATGTATCCACTTTTCATCACCAGTGACGATTCGATGTAAAAAACTTTTTTTGGTGCCTAGCTAGCAGCACTAACACTGGTCACTGAAATCTGCAGACCGCAGACGCATTGACGCCTTTGAGATGTGGTGCTGGAGAAAGATGCTGCGTATTCCGTGGACAGCATTTCGGACCAACGTATCAATCTTGCAAGAACTCAAAATCTCCTCGCTTCTGTCATCCGAGTGTCTTCGCAGAGTCCTTGAATACTTTGGTCACATCGCACGGAAGGATGGTAGCAATCTCGAGAGGCTCATCGTGACTGGTAAGGTAGATGGGAAAAGACTTCGGGGGCGCAGCCCAATACGTTGGTCCGACCAGATCCGCACCGCTCTTGATTCCACGTTTCACAACGCCCTCCACACCGCCAGAGACAAGAATGGATGGAGAAAAATCGTGCGTGCGAAGGTGATACAAAAGGGTGGTCACGACCCTCAGCAATGAGGAATACGACGCAAGGAGGAGGAGTTAGCAGCATTTCCTCATGCATAATTGGCGTTCAACATCTCTCGGCTTTAATTCGTATGGAACCCAATTACCTTGCTTATGAATCATTCCTAACGATTTTAAACGATGTGAGACTGCTTGCTGAGTGACTTCTAAAGTAAGTGCAAGTTCCTTTTGTGTTTGAGACGAATCTTCCTCCAATAAATCTGTCAATTGTGCATCCTAATAATTTTTTGGCCTTCCACTGCGATCTTTGTCTTCTACGTTAAAATCACCGTTTTTTAACTTTAGAAACCACTCACAACATGTTCTCTCACTCAAGGCAGCCTCATCATATGCTATAACGAGCAATAGATGCAACTCGGCTGCAGATTTTTTTAAAGTTTTAAAGATTAAAAGTTCCCGCAAATGACGCTTATTTGGCTCAAATTTTTACATTTTTGGAAGAATAAAAATATATGATGCTAATACGGAGTTAATAATATGATAGAGTTAAGTTAAGTGATCAAGTTATAGAGTGATAGAGTTAAGTGATCAACTTAATTTTCTAGCCGATTATCATCTGTAAATTCGAAAGTAAATCTCGAGCCACGCCATCTTTCTCAAAATGGCGGAGAGAGCATTAAATGCTTAACGGTGATTTATTATCTGTTTAGTATCTATGTAAGTGCACAAATGTGGAAAATAAAACATAGCCACTGGACGTAGCTTCTCCAGATCCTCCAAAAAGTTAACTGAAAAAGTCTCAAAAATGACCTTCATTTTTTTGAGATTATATTTCATCCCATATCATCTCATCTTATCACATTTCAATTTATGCCATATTTCATATTAATCAACTTCATTTCACTTCATACTATCATTACACAAATAAAAAAAAATATAAATATTACACAAATAATAAAAAAATATAAATAAATATATAAAAGATTAGGCTGTATGGTATGACACCTCTGCCTTTCCAGTTGGAAAAACGAAACTGATACTGTTGAAGTGAAGTGACATTTCAAGAAACATTCGCACGTCAAATCTTTTTGTTTCGGCCATTTTCGCCGAAAGTTTGGTATACGATTTAGGTCACGTATCTTTTCGTGGCCTTTAAATCGCTGAATTAATAACTGTTCAACATGGTGCAGAAGAAGGTAAAAGCCATGTGCGTTTTGTTTATTACAATATTTCGGTAACAAAAAGTGAATTATTAGTGAAATTTGACCGGAAACATGGTTGGCGGACCAGCTTTGTTTTTCACGTAAATATTGTTGTTATTTGAGACTTACAGGTATTTAAAATTATTTAAACTTGTGCAGTATGTTGCATTAAATTTTATCTTTTTGAACATCGCCACCAAGCAAATTATATTTAATTTCAATACTTGAATCCTAACCTCTAGTTTGCCATGATGATAATTTCTTATTGAACGCCGTGATTACCTTCACCAAGATCGCTGATGTGAACCCGTTCATATGTTTAAAGAAACATAAGTAGGATATGTTTTGATATTTGATGTATTTTCAGCCTAAGAAGAAGGTAGGGAAGAAAGTAGCCGCCGCCCCATTGGTGGTCAAAAAGGTTGAGCCCAAGAAGATCGTGAATCCTCTCTTCGAGAAGAGGCCAAAGAACTTTGCCATTGGTTAGTTTCATTTTATGTCCTCTATTTACTTAATATTGGATTTAAACTACATATTTTACATCTACATAACTGCCAAAGCGTGACTGACCGAAGTGATGTAAAAAAATACTTCCGAATAACCATGTGGTTAAAAAATACACGAGCTTTTTAACACTGATTGGTCATGAACACTGTCAATGCAATGTTTGTACTCCACTGACATGCTCCTACATTTGTCTAGAATAGTATCATAATTTTCTCAACATTATACCTTTAGTGATGATGGCCTCTTTTCCATCACAGGCCTCATAACCTTGCGATACCGCAGTTTTCGTAAATGAATATATGAGGATATATTTAACTTAATCCTGTGGGTATCAGTACTGTTATCTTTGGGCTCTGGTTGCTGATTTTGTTAGCAACTATTATGTGGTTAAAGAAACTTGCTTGAATGGGAAAAATAATACACAACGATGTGCAAATTATTGAAACGCTAAATACCTATATTTAAAATATTTCGATGTTTTGAAATAGTTACAATGTTAATGTAATACATCTTAAAAATGCCAAAATTCTTCAAGGTCAGGGCATTCAGCCAACTCGGGACTTGTCCAGATTTGTAAGATGGCCCAAGTATATCCGCATCCAGCGCCAGAAGGCTGTACTTCAGCGTCGTCTGAAAGTGCCCCCTCCGATCAACCAATTTACCCAGACACTGGACAAGACTACAGGTTTGTTCTCTTAAGTTATGCTTCACGAATACTTAGAAATGCCAACTGTTAAAGAGAAAGTCAACAAGAACAGCAAGAGATACTAAGAAAGACTAAATGAGCACTCAAATGAATTGGCAAGGTGCTAGACACAACTGGAGATGTGAAATGTTTAAAAAGATGGCAAAGTTTAGACTTAGACCATAGAATAATGTCATCCACAACTCGAACCCTTTGGAACACCGATTATGACTAAATAGCCGATTGCAGATAACTTAAAAGAAAAAAAAAGAAAAATGTTGTTCTTATGTTGTTACATTTTAACAAAGATGTAGTTAATATTTTTTTAAATAGTTTTTTTTTAAACTGCACAATTTTGTATTGTTGTTGGTGATTTTCAAAATTAACGTATAAATATGTCAAAGAATTACATGATGATCCTCAAATGCAACTATGAATCACTATGATTATCAAAAAAACACACGAGCTTTTTAACTCTGATAATTTTTTTAATAGTTAAATTAATGTATTTAACAAAGAATATGTTCTAAAGCATTTTAATTTTTGTTCTAGCTAAGGGCCTTTTCAAGATTTTGGAGAAATACAGGCCTGAGACTGAAGCAGCCAGGAAAGAGAGGCTGAGGAAAGCTGCTGAAGCTAAGGTTTGTTCACTCATTATATCGATTATGAATGCCATTTTTTTGTAATGTCAAATATTATGAATGCTATTTTTTTGAATTGTCAAATATTATTTTAAAACATTTATTAAAGAATCATTGGCTATTTGTTACGATGGCAAGTATATAAGCATCATCGTCGTCATCATTATTTCCTATTACCCTCTGCTGGGGTGTAGAGCTCGAATCAAATTTTTCAATTTACACCCTACCATGTCATGCCCAAGACCCTAGCTCCTGCTCCACCGAGCGACGTCAAGTTGTTCTGGGGCGACCTCTCTTATATAAGTATATAAGCAAGTGATGCATAAACAATCCAACTCTGAAAGTTGTGATGACTCAACCACCAAGATCTCTGATGGCATTTCATACAAATGACTACTATTGTAATAAATGCAACGAATATCTAAGAAATCATATGTTTCAGGTTGCCAAGAAAGATGAGCCTCCACCAAAGAGGCCCAACACCATCCGATCCGGCACAAACACAGTCACCAAGCTGGTCGAGAAGAAGAAGGCGCAGCTTGTGGTCATCGCTCATGATGTTGATCCCATTGAGGTATGTGATAATTCTCTTACTGTGCTTACAACTTCTTCTATAAACTGATCGACCTTAAAATTTGATGAGTTATCTAGAAATCTCTGTACGACTACATGAATCTATAATTTTGTGTAAATATCCCAAATTTTATGTTGTAAGTTATTAGACACCAATTCACATGCTAATGTAATTAGCCAAATGTATGGAATTTCAATTTCCAGGATACATATTAGATTTTTTTGGCAAAAAAAAATGCATGATTACATCTTAGCCCTCCTGGTATTAGCCAGTATCAGAATTTAGGTTAGAATTTTTATGTTTGTATTGATAACTTCACAGCAGATAGTTTTGGTTCTATCATATTTAGGCTAAATATGTGGTCTCCAACCGAACACAGCGTTTTTATTATTGATAGAGTTGGGAAATAATATGAATAATGGAATACATAATATGTAGTTATTATTAGAAGCTATGTAGATTGGGGCTGCATGCTTCATTTTGATGACATAGTACCATTTGATAATACGAATCAGCACAAGCACGTCTTCTTGGCCTAGCTGTGATGTTAGAATTTCTTCACCTGAGGCTGCAATGTAACATTATACATGTAATATATTGTCGGCTGAATGAAGACAATTGACTCTGAGCTTACTTTATATCTCAAAATCAATACACCAATAACAAATACTGGTAAATTACTTTTAGTTTAGAATTTATCGTAATTTATTGGATGTTTACAGCTGGTTCTCTTCCTGCCAGCGTTATGCCGTAAAATGGGCGTACCATACTGCATTGTCAAGGGCAAGTCCCGCCTCGGTGCACTTGTACACCGCAAGACATGCACATGCTTAGCTCTAACAAATGTAAGTCAAATAATTATTTCAAAAACAACTGCCATAATTGAAACTGTTGTTTTAGAATTAGTTCTGTGGGAAATGTATTGAAAATGCTTATCTGCTTCACGGTAAAACAACCTTCACATTCATATTTAGTTACAAAAAAAAACATTTATCACCTGGTGTGCTGCTGTTTACCCATTTAAGTAATTTAAAAAAAAGCATAATGATTTTTTAAAAGACTCCCTTTCACAACCATTAGATGGCCAGGAATAGGAAAGAAAGCTAGCAGATAGGTTGAAAATAAGTGATAGAACTTTGTTTTATTAATACGCTTTTATTAGCTTCAGACGTATGTGTGTAACGGAATCTTTGAACATGATTTTGACCCCACGCACCCCACGCTTTTTTTTACAATAAAATCATTTTTTGTTAGACTATTTTTAATTCCAATTTATTAAAAAAAAATCTATTTAGTTGTATTTTCTATAAAAGCGTATTTTGTTAGTTTTTTTAAACTATGATTATTTACATTTAGGGAGTGTATCTTTGATATTACTAGACTGATTCTAATATAGCTAGCTATAGTGTTATTATAGGATTATAGGTATTATAGGGTATAAAAATATGTTTTTAATGTTGAGTTATGAATATTTGTTATATTGAATCAGGGTGGGTAACTTAGACAAATTAATTGATTTCTCGATGAATACATATTAATGGCATATAATGATGATTTATTTGCTATCTGAGAGCCATGATGTCAATCCATCTACCACCAATAGATTTTTCTGAATATGCCTTAGCCATTAGCCACAAGGTATTTGGATTTCGACTTATACATTGTATACTGACATGTGGATTTTTGAACAGGTGGAGTCTGGTGACCGCGCCTCCTTCTCGAAGGTCGTGGAAGCCATCAAGACGAACTTCAACGAGCGCTACGAGGAGCTCCGCAAGCACTGGGGCGGCGGCGTCCTCGGCAACAAGTCCAACGCCCGCATCGCTAAACTAGAGAAAGCTAAGGCGCGCGAGTTAGCGCAGAAACAGGGCTGAGCTGAATAAAGTTTAAGATTTAAAATCATGTTTTTTTTCCCTACCTATTCTAATAACCTCGAGGGGTTTTTCTAGATTCACCGAGCTAAGTAGGTGAGCTCGCGGGGTTCAAACCTGACGTTGTTGCTAAATCCCTGTGACCCCCTTCATCTCCTTTTTATCATCGCACCTCCCGCCATCGGAGCAGAGTTCATCCATATTATCTGGAACCGCTGCGTTCATCGACAGTGCGTTTCCAAAGATCTTTTTTGCCACGTACCATCCGGCTTTGGAATGAACTCCGCTCATATTAATACTTGATACCATTATGTGAGCCGTATGCTCGTCTGCCTACAAAGGCAATAAAAAAAAAAAGTGTGTGTGTCCGCTCCGACGCACGACTGGAGTTTACTGGATATAAAAAATTAAACGAAACAATACGAGAAATAGTTCTATATTACGACAACACGATACACTACAGATTATTAACAAATTAACGAGACACAAAACAAACGACTAACAAATATATGAAAATACAATAATGAGAGAAACGCGCGATCAGTACGAGGCTTTGTGGCGGACTGCCGGCGCAGCAGCCCGGCGTCACCTGCGATAACGCGGCCGCGCGTTGGCTCCTGATTGGCGCGCGCACGCATCACGCAATCAGGAGCCAATCAGGCGCATAACGCATTTCGTGTGACATGCTAGTACGATTTTGGTCCCCATAATTTTCATACCCCGGGCCTATATATGTAAATCGATTCTAAAGGAGTAAACTCCAAAAACAGGTGGCTTTGTAAATGTGTTTGCCTACGAAGCAGTGTAAAAGTAAATTCCAACCTCATTATCTCCATATACTAACTATGATAAGTTTAAGCCACTTTTGCGCTGACTGCCTCAATAATAAATATTCTGATTGTTCTGAAAAAAAAATCAAGGAAAAAAACAAATTATCGATTGTTGGTAAATCAATATTGCTAATATCGATGGCCCAGAGACCCTTAGCTTGTCTAGGACGGATCGACGAACCCCATGGCTTATCAAGGGGGTTATTTCATGTGATAATAGCAATTCAATGAAAATTTTCCGTTGTAGCTATGAAAGGGAATAAAAGTAAAAGAGCATTTGTATATCAGAATCAAACCGATCAAGTGACAATGCAATAGAGCTAAATAACCAAGTTTAATCCATATCCATATTAACATAACAGTTTAAATGTGTTTGTTTGTCCTTCTTTCAGTCGAAACAAAACAAAGGGTTAACATTTTTTTTGTCGAGTGATAGTTTTAAGTCAGGCGCGGCGGGTTATATGAGCTACCTTTTATTTCGAAGAGCTTCTTATTCCCGTTAGAAACTATACTGACACTTTTCAACAACTTTACAAGACAGATTTTTTTTATTGCTTAGATAGATGGATGAGCTCTCAACCTACCTAGTGTTAAGTGGTCACTGGAGCCCATAGATATCTACAACGTAAATGCGCCACCCATTTTGAGATATGAGTTCTAAGGCCTTAGTATAGTTGTAACGGCTGCCCCACCCTTCAAACCGAAACGCATTACTGCGTCATGGCAGAAATAGGCAGGGCGGTGGTGTCTACCCGTGCGGACTCACAAGAGGTCCTACCACCAGTAAAAAAGCAGTATAGTTGTACTTATTAAAAGTTGCAAAAGTAGGGGGATTCCTATACGATTTCTGGTTGTTGAAATTGTTGCGCCAAACGCTATTGAAGTTTTTAATGCTAAAACGTTTAAGCGAATGTGGTGGTAGTCATGATAGAACAAAAATATATTTATGGGATATAACCTCCCAGACGAGCTTATAGCCCCCCTTATATTAAGTGGTTACCCGGCGATATGAACGAGAGACTCAATGTCAGTCTAATTGGTTTTTAATAATACAATAATTTAAAATTAGGTACATCTAATTGCTTTACGGCAGAAATAGGTAGAATGGTTTGGCCACAATGCGAGCTGAGCGATAATTGTTCTGCGACACAAGCGACCTCTGGTGTTCAAATATACATCCTCCTAACTTCTATATACAGTAACGGATTTAGGCTTGATGCCGCCTTGGGCCCTGTTTATCGCGCCGCCCTTAACCCTTTGACCCTTTTTTCTGGTGGTAGGACATCTTGTGAGTCCGCGCGGGTAGGTACCACCACCCTACCAATTTCTGCCGTGAAGCAGTAATGCGTTTCGGTTTGAAGGGCGGGGCAGCCGTTGTAACTATACTTGAGACCTTAGAACTTATATCTCAAGGTGGGTGGCGCATTTACATTGTAGATGCCTATGGGCTCCAGTAATCACTTAACACCAGGCGGGCTATGAGCTCGTCCACCTATCTAAGTAATAAAAATAAAAAAAAATAAAAAAATTACAGCCGTGTAGGTCACCGGTGCCTACGTGGCGCACTGAAATAATTATGTCGATCTATGTTACCAAGGCGGCGGAACATCTAGTAGACTCGTATTTGCGAAACTAAGTTGAAGAGGACTCGCGCGTGAACACAAATTCCTTCGTAAAACAATTTCTCAGTACTATAGCTGCTCATTTTTTCTAAAATTCTACCGAATACAACTTCATTACGTGTGACGTCATTTGAGGCTAAATGATACCCGATCTTGTAGACCGAATGATAAACAGTCGACGTCGCCCAAAGCACGTCATTACGGATACGAATTAACCCATAGACACAGCCCACTGAGTTTCTCGCCGGATCTTCGGTTTGAGCCCCGTGAGCTCACCTACACATGTTAGGGCGAAGCTGAAATAGCCTCTCAAGGCTATCAGCATAGGTAGGAAAAAAAAAGAGGCTAAAACAAACGACGGCCACTAATTCACAACGATTTATAGGTAATCGCAAAGTGGTGACATATTGTAGTAATGCGTTCGGATTAGTGTTAGAATAACCATTCTACAACACAATTGAGACTGGCCTCATGTCTCAAGGTGGCTCAAGGGCATTCATGTTGTGATATCTGGGATCCTGACACCAGGCGCCATTAGCTTGTTTGTTCATCCAAATAAATGAAGGAAATTGTGAATTAATTATTTTTTAAACAATATAACAAAGATGAAAGTTGATATTGATACAGGTTTTTTAATTAATTTTAGGTTATCTCAATAAAGGTTTGTTTTAAATGTTATCTGTTTAAGTACATGCTTATTTACGATTTCTAGAAATTTATGCTCGTTATGGATTCTAAGAACGAATTAGCATTTAGTGTATCCAGAGTCCAACACTTCAAAAGAAGTAAAACCATAAAATACATCTGAAGCGATATAAAAATTAAATTACCCAATCCAACATGGAAAGCCACCCATCCGGGGCCATTTCCGTTTCCTGGATTCCCTAGTGTAGGCGGATAGATAAGTACATAGGCGATCTTTTCATGACTTGAAAGCCCTTTTGTATGGCATCTATATAGTAACTGTAATACGTGGCCAGTTTTGAAGCTGTGTAATGTTACTAAAATAATGAAATGTGCACTAAAATAATTACGAAAGACAATGAAATCAATATTGATATTTCAATTTAAACATTGAACTGCTACCAAAAAACGTACAAATTCCTATTTTGGACTTTTTTTTTTTTAGTTATTGCTTAAATAAGTAAAATAGCAGCTCACATCCGGAGACATCAACAATGTAAATGCCACCACCCATATGTTTCTCCGCTATTATTCCCTTTATAGTGGAAGTCATCGGAAACTTTCGTTAATTTGTATCTTTACAAAAATTGGTACTTGGCTGCGGTACTCGAATACCCAATACAAAAAAAAAAAAATATAATTTTCATAAAACATAGATATAATTAAAGACTACGATTTAATATCTGATTTATTAGTTCGTGCGGAAAACTCAACATAAATATTATCTATGGTGCAGAGAAACGCAATTGTTAATACCGATTCCGATCCGGTAGTGGATTCATTCGCGAAGCAGCTGCTCTTCAGTTGTTAGGTCTCCTCCGGAGGCGCTCGGGCACCTGTTAGCAAATCTCCCCTCCTGGCTGAGCCCGTGCTCGCCCACCTGTCCTGGTGAAACTGGAAAGGCCTCCGAGCCACCAGTAATCTTTCAATCATAAAAAAACCTTACATAGGTATACTCCAAGACTTTGGTCCTTTGTGGTCACATAAACTATGAAGTAGACAAAAAAAAAACATTAAAACCAAAACAGTCAACGCGCGATTAAATTTTAAATAAACTTAGTTTCAATGATATACTTTTTTATAATTTATTAAGAACTCTTTCTTATTAAAGCGTTCTACAAGAAGAAGAAAAAAAGAGGCACGTTGTGAAATTATTACTTTGTGACAATAAATCTGTTGTAACGACTGAAAATAATGTTTGAAATTTCTTCACCGTAGTTATAGGCTGGGTTTTTTTTAATGCCCTTGTAGGCATACGAGCATACGGCCCACCTGATGGTGAGTGGTTTCCGTCGCCCATGGACTTCAGCAATGCCAGGGGCAGAGCCAAGCCGCTGCCTACCGTACGTGTCGTACCAGTACCGTAGGTTTCAGTAAGCCGGTGTGGTGGAGTTCCATGTGGTTTAGTCGGTAGTCGGTTCTGCGAGGCGGCTAGGCTGCCTCGCGCCTTTCAAGGCGTAGTCTTCCGAGAGGAATTGGAGGAGAAAGAGTACCTCGGTTTCCCCCTTCTCCTTCTTCTCTGGAGGCGCCGGAATCCGACATAACCCGGTCTGTTACCCCCTCGATCGGGTATCCGTAAACAGATTCCCCAGCGTTAAAAAAACAGGTGGTGGTATAGGTTTTTTTTTATTGCATAGATGGGTGGACGAGCTCACAGCACACCTGGTGTTAAGTGGTTACTGGAGCCCATAGACATCTACAACGTAAATGCGCCACCCATCTTGATATATAAGTTCTAAGGTCTCAAGTATAGTTACAACGGCTGCCCTACCCTTCAAACCGAAACGGACTACTGCTTCACGGCAGAAATAGGCAGGGTGGTGGTACCTACCCGCGCGGACTCACAAGAGGTCCCACCACCAAAACCTATCTGTCTAAGTTTTCTTTAGTAAATAAAGATGTGCATTATAAACTCTTAAAAACTGCTCCGCAATAGAGCGGAAATTGCAAGTTCGCGATCTAACTTTAATTAGTGGTTGAATGTTATACCGCCCTCAAGCTACCGTGAAAGACACTTTCATTACACGCGAAAACAACAAAGACCGTTTTAATTGCGTCGACCTAACGAACAATCCAGCATTGTTAGAGATAATTATGCAAACTTACTAATAAATTCTTGCGTTGATGGCTCTGTACGCGTTTCGTTGTACGCAAGCGCAGTTCTAACCGAAACGTAACAGGTAACGGGTATGGACGTGCCGTTCGCTCCCTCAGTCGCGAATAAACGGGAGGGTCGCGTAAGCGTATGGCTGTTCGCTGTTGGAACCCTGTACCTCTGAATTAAAGGGAATAAAATAAAAAGTCAAATTGTCCCGCCATTTAATTTCGAAAATGGAGTCCGGCTGTAAGTTACGTTCTATTTCATGATGGCCAACATTAAAGTGACTTTTCGTATCGTAAGTGGCGTGTATTGACTTTTCGTGTTTTGTTTAGTGATAATTTGTGATAGCGGTGAGAGGTGATGCCAAGTGGATATGGGTGTAGTAATGATAACTGTATACGGGATTGGATTACTCGATGCTTCAGGATTTATGGTGAGATTTTGTCTAAATGTTGCCATTTTCATTTAAGTTTTATTTCACGTTTCATTCAAAACATATTATAACGTAGATTAAATTAAATAGTGATTAAATACTCTTTGATTCAAAATGTTTGCCTTGAAGCTTCATATTTATTTCAGATGTTGACATAACTTAAAAGTATGTTTATAGACATATAAAAATGATATTTTTCTTTATTTAAATACATATGTTTTGATAATTGTAAAAAGGAAATCATTCTTAGCTTATGCAGTATTTGCGTTTGCACTACAAAAAATGTACGTAAATTCATAATGTCATTGGATTTTGTAATAGCATTTTTTACAGACAGATACACGAGCTATAGAAGATAAGTGAAACTTAAACATACAAATGCGAAGTCTCTTAAGGACAACCCAGTTCGAACATCATCATTCTTGATCTTTTTTCTGATCTTTTTTCTATATCTATTTTGTGTTAGTGTTAAGCGATGATTAAATAAAAAATCCAGTTTTAAATAATGAAAATTACCATAAAATGTGAATAAATACGAATAAAGCTGGTATGGTATGATGTTGTTGGAATAATACTGACAAAAATATTTTACTATTTTATTATTTATTATAAATATGTAAATTGACTTGAATATTCTCCAACTGACGGCTAACAGAATCGATAGAGGAGAGTTTCAGTTTCCTAGATGATTGGAAAGTGCCTCTTTTTTTCCCTACCTATGCTGATAGCCTCGAGATGCTATTTCAGCTTCTCCTTGACGTGTAGGTGAGGGTGACTCAAACCGGAATGCTGCTAACACTGGCCCTAGCAAGAGCAGTGCTTTGCAGAATCTACCACCGGATCGGAAATGGGTCGCATTTGACGCGAGAAGATCGCACTAAGAAGATCCGACGAGAAACTCAGTGGGCTGTGTCTGTGTGTTAATTTACTCGTCCAGCCCTTCATCACAAGCGACGGGTTTGGCGAGGACGGTGACCGGTGCTTGAGGTACCTAAAAGCACTGTTAATGGATCGGGAGGATCCGTAATGACGTGTTTACGGCGACGTCGACTGTTTTCCATTCGATCCACAGGATCGGGTATCATTTAGCCTCAAATGACGTCACACGTAATGAAGTTGCATTCGGTAGAATTTTAGAAAAAATGCGCAGCTATAGTATGAAAGTGCCTGTCTGTCTGACTGTCTGTTTTTGGTGTCATTTTTTATTGTTACACTTATCTCGGTCTAGCTTCTCAGCCCGCAAACAAAACGCGCAATAAGGAACTCCACGCCAAAAACAAATTTACAATCAAAAGTGTCAAAGTTGAATCGACATCTGTCTTACACGAACACGTGCGCCGTTATCTAACGCTAGTGGATTGTTTGGAGGGCCCCTTGGCTTTGCTGTCGTCCATAAATTGCCTTACTCTTTAGATTGACATTCCACATCCGATTCTGCGGACTGAACGCAGGGTTCGGCGAGTAAATGAACCTTCAGACACAGCCCACTGAGTTTATCGACGGATTTTCTAAGTGCATCGCATTTTCGATCCAGTGTTAGATTCTGCGAAATACTGCTCTTGCTAGGGCTAGTGTTAGCAAATCCGTCAGCTTCGAGCCACGTGAACTCACTTACTCTTCGCCAATTAGATGCATTTGCGATATCGGAACGCGTCCCACTGAGTGGATCCGTCGAGGAACTCAGAGGCCAAATTATACATCCACAACCATAACAAAACCTATGGAGTCCCACTCGGAGAGAACCAGAGAGCCACTCGGAGATCTATTTTAGTACATTTTAATAAATTTTGAAAATAAATCTCGCACCGTTGTCTATTCTAAGGGCTACATGGTGTTAAATTGTTCAAACGCGCTTCGAAATGAGTCCTGAGTGATATATGCATGCAGCACTCATTTCAATTTTAATTCAGAATTATGCTTCAACGTACCTTGCACTACCTAAAGCTATCCAATTCGAAACACCGAAGTAATTTCATTAAAATCGAGATCAAAGGGTTTAGTTGCGATTCTCGTGCACACATTTCGAACGAAGATATTTAATCAACAAAACGAAGCTTAATTAAACATTCTAACTTTATTTTAAGTAAATTTGTAACTTTTTATTTTCATTTCTTTAATAATAGCAAGAAGTACCATAACTTACAAGATTTATAATGTTTTAGCTCGATATGTTTCTTTTTTAAACTATAAAGATAATTATTGGACACATGCATTAGCGTGTTGAGTGTGGGTGCATAGATCTGTCTGCTTAGTGCGAGTTTCTTAACGTTCTCGATAGCGTAAAAGTTAACCCAATTTTGTATGCAGTTGGAACAGCGCCCCTAGCGGCAAACATATGCAAACAATTCCATACAAATATGAGCTAACTTTTACGCTATCGAGAACGTTAAGAAACTTGCACTAAGCACACTGAATTGAGGTAATCCTTTGTAATACCGATGTCCAGTTCCGTGATGTCAAAACAATCGAGAATCGTACTTGGGTTCAAGATTATCTGCCTGACTCACTCAAATATCGAAGCTGACATGGGACAATCTTCATTATTCGAATTTCTCGAGATTCGCTCCTATCGTTCCATCGACGCACATCGCAGGTTACAGTGGCGATTCGTGACCGACTCCAATTCGATTCGAGTCGAGTGCCGAAGTAAATGAGAATCGAGAAGTTTTTACAATCTATCGAATGAACATCTCGAATTCGTGCATCGTTACTCTGTTACATTAATAATGACCTGTAGAAACTGCAGCATGTTCAGAATTGTAATAATTTAATGGTTTGAAACTTAGATCAATCAAATCTGATATAGATTTTTCAAAAAGTTTACTAATCATCTCTTGTCTCTATTTAAAGTTGTCGGTTTATCCTTTATGGGTTTCTTCGGGCTGTAATGTGTTTTTTGCATTTCAAATAATTTCAAATAATAAATGTATTAACCACAAATCGTAAACTGCATAATATCTACAAAGTGTGCCATCTCACTTAAGTGGCCATGTGTTGTTATGCAATAATAATCAACATATCGGGACATCGGGAGCCGGACTGTTGCTTAAGATTGTTGATTCGTGTACTGATCAGCACAGGAAACCATGGTGCGCGTTGACCTTCAGGATTCCTTGAAATATGGAGACTGTAGAGTTGACTTTTCATTATTTTAATTATACGGACGATTAAATTACTTAAACAATCAGAGATTGCAAGAATAATTAGTGATTTAGAGACAACGGTTTTGTGTATGAAGTTCGTCCGCCATGACACCCGAAACATTATTCAGTGTTATCTGCTCCTAACTAAAATAAAATATACAGAAATCACATCACACACATTATACACTTAACAAAACAACAACGTATTATAATTAAACAATAATTAAAAGAATAACAAAATAAAAATAAAGTTTTGAAAGTTAACTGATTTTAATTATTTAAAAATTTCACGCATCGTTATATAATATGGATACTTTCTATTTGAACCTTTCTTATATATCAGTTATATTTTATTATTTAAACGTTCAAATTTACTTGATGTGTTAATCAATATAAATGCTTAGAAGTAAATTAAACATTAGGTACTTTAATTTAGAAATGGTAAACTCAGACCCGAGAAGCCATCAATTTATTTGTTGCTAATCTAATTATCTTATTTGTTAGCACAAATCCAGCTTAATGTACTACCGAGGTCTGCCTAATTATATTACTTTACGGCTAATGGCTCGACTCGAACGAATTACTCGCTTTGCTCGCTAAGTCATGTACGTGGCTTCGAAATGACAGCATCATTGTCCACTGTTACAAACATATCATCAGAATACTTTGTTAATTTTGATTTACAACTAGATATAGATATCGCTTTTACAGGTAAGGAAGCGTGGTAAGGAAGCTTCAGGAAGCGTGCTAGTGCAAAAAAAACCCTCGGGAACTGTAATTTTTTTTCCTCCTACATATTCTAGTAACCTTGAGCAGATACTAGATTCTCCGAGCAAGTAGGTGAGCTCACGAGGGCTCTAACCTGGAGACGTTGCTAACAATGGTCCTAGCAAAAGCAGTGCTTCGCAGAATCTACCGCCGAATCGGAAAGGCGACCCACTGAGAAAATCCGGCAAGAAACTCAGTGGGCTGTGTCTGTTGTATTTCTGAATGTGGTATTAAGGTATAAGTCTTTTTCTGTAGTTCTGATATCGCGTATTTAATTAACATCTACTGAATTGTTAGATGTGAAATTGAACATACCATACCCACACTCACGTTATTTCTCACTTTACGTTACGTTATTTCTCAAAAGTATATCTATCGGTCTGGCGGTAAACCTTATCATAATCTGTTGAAGTCTTTGTGGCATAAAATATATCAGTATACGCCCGGTATACTAATATCAAGCGATCCAATCAACTATGCCGATGCTGAAATCCCTTAAGAGGATTTGTTTTTATGAAAATACGTACTTCAAACGCTAGTTCACGAATTACTTCCACGATCAAGGTATAAGATCGTGTAATAAAATTTGACCCGAAGATATTACCCATAATTAACAGTAGTAGATGTGTAGCGGTAGGCTACCACAGATCACCAGTTATTTGAGATTTCCCTAAATATCGTCCACGACATTCAAAAGATAAACTTGCATATATACAAGTTACGAGCAATAACGTCATTCGGGTCGTCGGTCCACCGAGCAATTTCACTCGCTCGGTAGAAGACCTTCCTATTGTCGTAAGCCCTCACCCTCATCGTGCTTATTCTTGACGCGAAGCAATACGATGTCCCCGCGCCTAGCGGGCGCGCGGGATAGGTGGGACTTGACGATCTGAAGGTGTTGGGAGCAGACCGCGGGCCCAAGGAATTTTAGGGCCCTACCGCACTAAACGACTCCCCTGCACTCTTACATCCGACATCCGATCTCCGTCCGGAGTCAGAAGCCGTTCAGAGTAGGGGAGTTCCCGCGGTCAACACTATAACCAGACACGCGCCGCCATCCCGAGGACGCCCGACTGACGGGTCATTGAC